CACTGACCACTGTTTTGGTTCTACATTATTCAGGATGACTATTTACTTGTAAAACACCCTTTTTGGGCTGCTAAATCCTGTCTTTTGCCTATTTTACCTCATTATTAGTAGGGAAGAAAAAAATGGAATTCTACTAGCCTTTTGCTATTCTGGTAGAAGAAATGGTCATAAAAGTTAAAACTACTAAGAAAAGCCATATAAGTATATAAAGCAAAAAATGAATATATGTAATTTAAATTTTATCAGCAAAAAAGTAAACTCAAATGTTTACAAACTTCATTTGCATTACTAATCCTTATTTATTAATAGCCAATAGTTCCACTTCTTTAATTTTTAGGAAAGAGAGATATGTTTCAGTCTGTGCTAAAACACCAAAATAATTTTCTCATTCCATAATAAATGCTTCCAGAGCCTTTATTACATTGTTGCCTGTCTTGGTCTCAATGAGGCTGATAGTTAAACATATAAGCAAACATTAGCTATAGAGAATATGTGTGTGTGCATAAATATATACTATATATGGCAAAGAATATTTTAGAAAACATTTAAGAAAAGCAAAAACAAAAAGAAGAAGAAATACAAGTTTGATGAGTAAAACTGAGAAAAAGAGGAACTTTTACTTAATTAGTTATACACAGGTTTTCTTAAGTCTGCCAAAGGTCCTGATGATATCACTTCTGGTTAATTCAGTGACCAAATTATTGACTAGTAAGATTAACACTGGCTTTCCACAGATGTGAGTCCTTCTGTGGAATGAAGAAAACACTTTGTATGAATTGGAAAGATGCTCTATATTTTACTTGTGTACAGTTGGCCCATCAATATTATCTTCAGTTTTATCAAACTAGATCAACTTACAAATAAAAGGATCACTCCCCCCAATTTTATATTTTCTTCCCATATTCAACCTCTCACTTTCTATGAACCTAGTTCCTTACTCTCATTTGTATATGAAAGAAACAGAACCATTATCATTCATGTGTTCCAATCCAGTGTTGATAGAAGGGACATTACAGATCCAGGGGTCTGAGGTAGTGCCTGAAGGCGAACCAAGCTCTCACGTGTTTTGCTTGACCCACACAGTATAGGACAAAGGGAAAAGAATAAGAGAAAGTGAAGGAAAAAAAGAGGGAGGGAGCAAGAAAGTACCTGGAATGTTTTTAGAAAAAGCATAAAATGCCCAATTTGGCCAGAGCCTCACCATTCCCTAGTGTCTTCCACTGACTCCATCACATATTTTGTCATCTGCTTGGCTCCTAAAGGCAATAATTCTCCACCTAGTCCAAACTTTTCATATTCCAGATGAGGAAACAAGAATCCAAGAACAGTTTATTAACTTGCCTAAGGTAACATAGATGGTTATTAGAAAAGCAACAGTAAGAGTTGTAACTTGGATCCTAGTTCCACATTCTCTTCTTTGAATCTATCATACTCTTCTACAAATTCAATCTAGAGCCTAAAACACCAAAATGTTGAAAGAAAAAGGAGGAACCAGCATATAAAATGTATATAGAAAGTAAATGATGTATTCCTGTCTCGGTATAAGTTTGTTCCATTTCTTTATGCCCACCCAATCAAAGGTGGCCAGGAAGTTGGAGAATAGGTGAGTCATGTATACAGGTATAAAACTGTATCCATAGCTAACACTGCAGCAATAGACGAAACGTGATTCAGTTGTTAAGGTTGGGACACTGAGTTTCTAACAAGTTCTCTCCTTCTTTCTAACATCATATTCCTACATTCAAGTGTACAATATTTAAAACAGCCTGAATTTCCTGTTATTCTGGTTTTCCTGACCCTTTCTTGGCTATAAATTAGTTTATTTTATACCTCATGACCTTGCACTATGATGTGTTGAATTTAAATTAGAGGAGGGGTAGTTGCTATTCTGCCCAGTTATCAATATAATTCTGTGCGTCTTGAATTTTAGATGCCGAAAGAGTGAATGAACACCTAACCATATTGCCAGAAGACCTTCCAAGTCACTTCTGGTTCTAGATTAAACTCTGTGACTTCCAGGATACCTGGGATATGCCCACTTTATACCACACTGAAAACTTTCAGATCATCTACTATGTAGGAATAATATTACAGATCTGAGGGGCAATGAAGTTTTCTAGTTTTTCTGCCAGATCTCTTACTCTGAAGAAGTCTTTCAACCACTCCAATTCTTACAGTGGGGGCATAGACAATCCAAAGCAGGAGTTATCCTTAGAGGGTGACTACATCTGAAAGGCGTCAGGGAAAGAATAAGAGGTGAGTGTAGAGCCTGCAGATGGGCTCTCTATATCCATGGTGGCTCTAGGGTCATCAGACTCAAGGAGAGGCAAGAATTCCTCTTAAGTTTTAAAAGCAAGAAAGCAACATTGACTCTGCTTTTCACATCAGAACTTCAAATTCTTCATATACTATAATAGTACCAAAAATTGTGTTTAAAGTAAAGAAATGAGGAAAAGCTATAAAAAAATGAGAGACTATCATGGGAAAATTATAAAAGCATTTTGCATTTTTATATGCCCACTTCCTTGCTAAATACAACTGAAAGAATTAGTAATGATTACATGTACAATTATTTAGAAACCAGAGGAATAACTTGTGAGGAAAGACCAAGAATACCTATTACCTTTTCTTTAAGCATGAACTAGACAAGGCATTTCGGGGAAGTCATGGTGGATAGACAAAACCAAAACAAAAGAACTTTAAATTGCATTTTATCTGGCTGCATAGTAACACAATTCTCAAGTTATAAGGCACAAAACGCTTAAAATAATGAAATTTCATATACAAAATAATGCCACCATACTGTGTTTATTCAGAAACACACATTTTAACGTTAAAGGGAATTATCCTATCTAAGAGTGGTTATTATACGTGTGAAGTGAAGAACTTCTGATCGTGCTTCATTTCAATATTAGTTCTGTTTTGTTTCCTTCCATTAGCTATTATATAAACGAAATAAACCTAAAAATTAAAATGCTACTTAATAAACAATAAGTCCTGAAAACCCATGAAAAATTTCAAGTTTCATTTCTTGATTCATTGTTAAAACTAACACTAAAAATTAATAAAAAAACAAACTTTTTTCTCTGCTTTATTTGCTCTTGATTATAAATGTTTTCACTACTTTATATTGTTATAACACTAAATTTTAAATTTATTTTAAAATGAATTATCTTTGAATAAAGACTCTTCACTATAATTACTGAGAGCAGTATCATGGGTATTAAAAATATAGTACTATAACATTAGTTTGAAATTAACTACTGCATCAAGTCTAATATTAAATAGCCTCTAATACTTAAATAAAGGTTCAAATTAAGGTCAAAGGAGGAGAAGCACTAGGAGAAACATAATGGAAAACAAGATTTTTTTACCAACCTCGAAAATTAAATGCCACTGGTACTATTGTGCACAGTATTTTTTTTGCTTTCAAATGAAAAGTTACAAGTGGTTATTTCTGTAACAGCTCTTGAAACACCAGTAGGCTGATGAAGGTATTCACTCAGACCAATTATTTTATTCTTGCAGTTTGAATACTGAGAATGTTGACAGTTTGTAACACTGTTGACAGATGGAAACAATAAATAATAACCCTTTCAAAGTCTAGACTCACTAGAAGATAAATTTGCTAATCAAACAATAAATAATAACCCTTTCAAAGTCTAGACTCACTAGAAGATAAATTTGCTAATCTCCTTGAAAAATCTTCACTTTGCTACAAGTACCAATTATAAATAGCAGCTAACATTTAATGAGTGCTTATGTGCCAAGCACTGATTTTTACCCTTATTTTTTATCATAGTAATCTGTAATTATTTTGTTTATCGTGCTTCACTGCATTAATCCAGAGGCTCCCTCAGGACAGTCATCTTGTCTAGTTCCTTATGGTATCCCCAGCATTTGGTATGTCTAACATATAGTAGGCACTAAACCAATAAATGAGTCAGTGCTTTAAATGCTTTAAATATTTTTTAAGCTTAAATGGTTAAGAAAATGCAAAAGAACAGAAAGTAGGGTGAATTACATCTAGTAAAATAAATATTCTTTAATGAAAATTTTCTTTTAGTCTATATGTCTATGTGCCATACAAAATATATTTCTTACTTATGGCTAAGATTAAAAAAAAAAAGCCTGAAAATCACTGCTTTATGTGAATTATTTTATTCGCTCCTCACAAGAACCCTGTAGACAATATAATAACTTCTACTTTAAAATAAGAGAAATGAGGTTTCTAGATGTTATATATGATGTTCAAGATGATAGAGCTATCTACAAGTATATCACTTCTTCAGCTACTCATAGGGTACTATAGTAATAAAATCTGAATTAACTAAAAAAAGTTTCAGTAATAGTAATTGTAATATGATTAATAAAGAAAAACATAGGCTTTTAAGGCAGACAGGCCTGACTGAATTTAATACCTGGCTCTGCCACTAACTAGCTAGGTTGGCTTTGGCCTAACTTAACCTCTTTGCACCTCTATTTCCCCATGTGTAGAAGAGGGACATTCATAAGATTGTAAGTTTTAAGTGATTTAATGTATGTAAATAGCCTAGACCCCTAAATAGAAGCTGTTGTGATTAAAATAATTATTAGTGGGTTTTTTTTTTCTGGTCCAATAAATCACATTCAATCCACTACACCATAATTTGAATGTGTAAAAAGAGCGCATCAGGAATTTACTGGATTATAACGAGAAGTATGGGAACTGGGCAAAACTGGCATTGAGCCGTCCAAGAGTTTCTGTGGGCGCCGGGTAAAAAAGATGCCCAAGAAAAGATCAGGCAGTTGGTTCAGGTAACTATGGGAATCAAGGGAAATAACGTTGCTTAAACGTAAAAACAAACACAACTATTTAATCTTTCCACAGCAACATCCATCTTCTTCCTCTGCGTTCTGGCTAGGGCCAAACCAAGGTGTTAGGCAACGCCCCTGGTCAGCTCCCGTCCATTAGGCCCTGCTATCAAGGGGCTAGGGCACAGAGGTTCCGAGCAACTCACCCCGGAGACTCCGTTGATACTGCCCCAGAATCTCCTCCAGGGCAGAGTTCTCCGGGGACTTCGCCATGAACACACTCGGGGCCCAGAGATGGGAATTGCGTGGGGAAGAGTCCAGCGTTCTCCCCTCGGAGAGCAAGAGGCCTCAGCCCCCGGAAGGGGCCCACCGACTTCCTGCTGCTGCTGTCACTGGAGAGCACAGATTCCCGGACTGAGCTCTTCGGCCTCTTCCCACCCACGGGCCCTCGTGGTGGACGTCGGAAGTTGTAGTCCACAGTGTCCGGGCCTACAGTGTCGAAGTTCCTAAGAGCACTCCCAATGACACTACAATTCCCAGAGGGCAACGCGCTCCAAGCTCAAGCTTTGGCGGTTTGGCGGCAAGTTCCGGTTGCCAAGAGACTCCTTGGAGGCTCCGCCCATTTCTGTAGCCCAGCCAGACTTAGTCCTGCCTTCATCCCATCCTACTGTTTGGACCACCTAACTGACAGAAAGGGCTCACTGAAAGCCTTTACTCTTCTAAATTCGCTTATATGTTGTTGATCCTTGAGCCTTCTCAAGAACGCAAATAACAAGCTCAACACATTTCAGCCGCAACATCTGCCAACACCGCGAAATAAATTCTCAAGAAAAAGAAGCTCTGAATCTCCCAAACAACCTAGATCGTGAAGGCGGCTGACACTACCAATCTTAGTACGCCCAGCGACCCGACCACAGCTTGAAGTTGGCGCACTGCCGGCTGGGAACTGTAGTCATTGCCGGTTGCGGGCCCAGCTAAAGCCCGGGTCCTCTTCATTGTTGAAGCTGGTCTTTGGTATACGCCTGCGCAGTCGGCAGCTGGAGAGGCCTGTGGGTGAGACCCCCCGCCCCGCACAACCCCTTTTCATTGTCTGTGCTTGGCGCTTGCGCAGTAGGAGTTCGCCGGGACTGGGCCGGACCAGGGGTAGGGCTGGGCTCCTCGCCCTCTCCCCGGGCGCCTGCGCACTGGGCGGTCGCTCTTTGCCGTTACCGCTATGTGCGGAGCGTGTGCGGAATAACGTTATTGCCCAGCGGCGCCGAGGGGCCGAGAGCTCGACCGCGGCGGCGGCGACGACAACAGGGTGGGGGAGAACGCTTGCGAGAGACTCACGGGACGCGGTGCGCCCCGCCCCCCCGTCCGGTCCCTCTCAGCAGTGAGGGGTAAGTGATGCGCTCCGGTGCCGCCGCCTCCTCCTCCGCCTTTCCACATCCTTCTCTTCGGGTTTGCAGCGGGGGCTCGGGCGCGGCCCGCGGCGGGAGGGGTTGAGGGCCGGCGGCGAGGGGCGCTTCCCTGAGGCTTCGCGCGCCCAGGCTCTGAGGCTGTCCCTACAGCAAGCACTGGCATTGGTCCTGATTAAGCCCCTGACACTGGTCTTAACTAAGGCCCTGATGCTCTCAATAACTAAAGTCATCACGCTAACCCTAGCTCATTTCCTGACACTATATGTGGCCTGGAACCTGACTCTGTCCCGAGCTAATTCCCCCCACCGCCCCCCAACCCTGCGTCCCCGGGCCCTGCGTCCCGGCTTCCCCTGCAAGTGTCCACGTATTGAGTCGTCTCTGGCTCTCCTGGCTTTGTGCAGTCCCCTCCGCCCCAGCAGTTTGCAGGGGTGTGGACGGAGCAGCGGAGGGAATGGCTACGCTGCTGCTGGAGAAGGGGTTTTCCCGATCGGAGCAGCTCCCAGTGTCGTTTCTTTTTGTGTGGTTGGTTTTGGTGTGTGGGGCGGTTTGGGGTGGTCCGGCGAGGAGCCTTTCGGACGCGGTGGGAGGGCGTGGAAGACGTGGTGTCACGCACCCCGCCAGGCGACAGCACCCGCTCAGGCTGTGGCTCTGTAGTAACCCGGGGGAGGAGAGAGTAGCTTCCTGTCGACTTCATTGTCCTGAGATTCGAATGTGGGCTTTGGTATGGGTCCCTTCATTTTATGTAAGGAAAAGAAAAATTAGCAGCTGCCTAACGAGGGGCGGGAACATGTGGGATTTGTACCCTAAGTCATAGTATCTGTTTTTTTAATATTTAGCGGAGTTTTACTTGGAGAATGTAAGCTCCTGGAAGACAAGGACAGTGCCTGTCCAAGCATTGCCAAGGTGATCAATATAAAATTACTAGCTCACGATGAAGAATGGACCAGGAAGGGCCTGACGACGAAGCTGTTTGTGTAGCAGGAAAATGAACCAACAGAATGTTTTTTCATAGGGTGGGTAACGCATTCACGTGCCTAAGGGAATAGGTTAGGATACATCTTTCCGTTTTGTTTTTTAAGCATTCAAAATAAAACATAGGCCTGGTGCATTTCTGTTTCTGAATTTTTTATTCATATTTTTATTCTCTTAATGAAAATTCACCCAGTTGGGAGAAATGTGGTGAAGCAGATAACATACTTGATTGAAAATACATCTTTTAAAATGATTTGATTATTAAGCTTACAACCGTTTGCTGGCATTAAAACAAGCAAAAGAGAGATTGAAGCCGGATGGGGAGGAGCAGGTGGAGGAATGATGTGAGAGGAGAGAGTGACATTATGAATACGGTATCCAGATCTTCACTGATATAACCCTAGCTGGGTATGCCGCAATGATTTAGGAATTCAGCTCTGGAAATATTACATTGCAAGTTACAAACCATTTTGTGTTTTTCTGCCATTGTTTTTTAAAAAGTAAAACCAGTGCTGCTTTTACTTTTTCCTAACTTTGCAGATATTGTAGAATTTTGGTGTTTTAAAACTGAAGAGTCTAAATGCATTTGACGGAGAAAGAGGAAGACATTAAAACTTGGAAAGTTAACTGACTTGGCTGTCCAAGCCAAACTGCTAATGAAAGGCAGAGTCCAATAAAACCAAGGTCTCTTCTGCAGTGTGCTCTTTTCAGCTGTGTCCCCTAGTCCCCCTACCCTGTGAAAATTTATGGAAATCTTCTCTGCATGCTCTTTGAGTTGTCTGTGACAATCAAGTTCATAGATACCTCATAGTTGTATTAGTCTATAGTCTTTTTCTTTTGATGTGAAAGTAATAATTCTAATGAAGTGGAACTATAGTTTTATAAATTAACTTACTAATATAGGAAGAGATGTCTTAACATGGGCTTTTCATAAAAATGGAAACTTGGAATTTTTTCCCTACTTCTTATCAGTAGCCATATTTTAATAGTATTTTCTGCTATTTGGTAGTATTTTATAATATGATCAACTTTATAAACTCTGAAAAATGAAATTGCTACATAGCAAGAACCTATGAAGTTCAGTTTTCTTCAATTAATGAATTTTATTATTTTCAACTTAAACAAGAGCTTACTTTTTGAGGAAAAAAATTCATGTTGAACATTTTTATTAAAATTGAATTTGTGCTCTTTCTTGTTGATTTTGCCATAAAGTGCTTTTTTGTTGTCTTATACTTTTTATCCCTTAATTCCACATTGTATTTTAATAGACTTTTTTTAAAATAGATCTTTATTGGAGTATAATTGCTTCACAATACTGTGTTAGTTTCTGTTGTACAACAAAGTGAATCAGTCATATGCATACATACATCCCCATATACCCTCCCTCTTGAGCCTCACTCCCACCCTCCCTATCCCACCTCTGTAGGTCATTGCAAATCACCGAGCTGATCTCCCTGCGCTATGCTGCTGCTTCCCACTGGCTAACTATTTTACATTCAGTAGTGTATATATGTCGATGCTACTCTCACTTTGCCCCAGCTTTACCCTCCCACCCGCACTCCCCCGTGTCCTCAAGTCCATTTTCCATGTCTGCATCTTCATTCCTGCCCTGCCACTAGGTTCATCAGTACCTTTTTTTTTTTTTTTTTTTAGATTCTGTATATATGTGTTAGCATATGGTATTTGTTTTTCTCTTTCTGACTTACTTCACTCTGTATGACAGACTCTAGGTCCGTCCACCTCACTACAAATAACTCAATTTCATTTCTTTTTATGGCAGAGTAATATTACAATGTATATATGTGCCACATCTTCTATATCCATTCATCTGTCTATGGGCATTTAGGTTGGTCCCACGTCCTGGCTGTTGTACATAGTGCTGCAGTGAACAGTGTGGTACATGTCTCTTTTTTTGTTTGTTTTTTAAATTTATTTTTTTATTTTATTTTATTTTTGGCTGTATTGGGTCTTCATTTCTGTGCGAGGGCTTTCTCTAGTTTCTGCGAGCGGGGGCCACTCTTCATCGCGGTGCGCGGGCCTCTCACTGTCGCGGAGCACAGGCTCCAGACATGCAGGCTCAGTATTTGTGGCTCACGGGCCCAGTTGCTCCGTGGCATGTGGCATCTTCCCAGACCAGGGCTCGAACCCGTGTTCCCTGCATTGGCAGGCAGATTCTCAACCACTCCACCACCAGGGAAGCCTACATGTCTCTTTTTGAATTATGGTTTTCTCAGGGTGTATGCCCAGTAATGGGATTGCTGGGTCATATGGTAGTTCTATTTTTAGTTGTTTTTTTTTGGTTTTTTGTTTTTTTTTTTTTGCGGTACGCGGGACTCTCACCGTTGTGGCCTTTCCCGTTGCGGAGCACAGGCTCCGGACGCGCAGGCTCAGCGGCCATGGCTCACGGGCCCAGCTGCTCCGCGGCATGTGGGATCCCCCTGGACCGGGGCACAAACCCGTGTCCCCTGCATCGGCAGGCGGACTCTCAACCACTGCACCACCAGGGAAGCCCTTTAGTTGTATTTTAATAGACTTTTAAAAAAGAATTAGTATATTTCTTAAATTTCAAATTACTTAAAAAATAATCTGTAATTCACCATGTGGAATTATATTAAATCAAACTTGAAATGTATTTTACTGTTAAATTTCATGGTGTGCTAAAATTACTTTGTATGGAAGTAAATAACCATCTGCATGTTTTCCAACTCTACACTGTAAAATTATCATGCGTTATGTCTATTAATGTAAATATCAAGGTGCTTTTAAAAATTCTATGCTTAGGATTTATTTGTTACAAGTATCAGTTTCTTGTTTCCTTTTATCACTTAAAAAAAAAGCCAAAAAAACTAGTTTTATTGGGCTTCCCTGGTGGCGCAGTGGTTTAGGGTCCGCCTGCCGATTCAGGGGACACGGGTTTGTGCCCCGGTCCGGGAGGATCCCACATGCCGCGGAGCGGCTGGGCCCATGAGCCATGGCCGCTGAGCCTGTGTGTCCGGAGCCTGTGCTCCGCCACGGGAGAGGCCACAACAGTGTGAGGCCTGCGTACTGCAAAAAACAAACAAACAAAAAA